GGGAGTGCTGTTTTGTTGGCGTCTGCGTCTTCAGTCATCGTTCGGCTTGTGAGTCGTTAAAGTCTTGTGGTTGAGCACTCACGGTTGGTGAGTGCTGTCTTGAGAAGGGGGTGATGTAATGGGCCACCCCGTTACATAAGTAGTTTCGATTAAGTTTACATGTTACTTAAGTAGGGGTGTTACTTTCGAAGTAGCGAAAGTAGCACGTCGTATATTTTAGCTGGTTTTAATGGGCTCAGTACCATTATTAGCCAGTAAGATATAGACACGTAGATTGAGTGGTTCCCATGAGTCCAAGGGAACCATTCGTACTTAGGATGATTTTAAAAGACAAAATATAAACAGAGTTAAAAATACTTAACACCTAAGACTTGGGCTTTGAGCTTCCTCAAAGCGTTAGAAATAGTGTACGCTAAGTACGGGTTATTCTAGCCCCGTTACACTCTCACTGTGTACAATATTCCTTGAGGGTAATAATCGCAGTACAAATTTCACAGTAGCAAAAAACCTGCCACTACCTCTCAAAAACCATGGGTGGAATATACCGGATATAGTGGGTCGTTGGCGTACCCGAATATACCTCACCAAACCAACCAACCTAGAAACCTGCCCTGCCACGGTTTAGCAGCAGCTTCTTTTGTTTTGATCCTTTGCTACCCGTTAACTCGTTCCAAGTAAACAAAAATTCGCGCAATCGAGCTTCGGATTCAGGATGCCACGAGCTAATACTATCTTATCCTTGTGAGCAGGCATCCATGTCAGGCATACCTCGTCTTCGCACATTGGCAATCATCGCAATATATAGGCTTGCAGAGCGGAACATTCTATTCGGAAAGATGTCGAAGACTTGAAGCAGTAAAGCTGTACGCTTGATGCAGTAAGATGGCGAACATAATTGTACAAGCGCGAGCACAATGTATGGTAAATTGGGAATGTATGTACGCACCGCTTTGTTAAAATTTGCGTGGTGAGTGATGAGGTCGTATTAGCGATACAGCGTACTTACCGAAAGCGCATTATAACAAATTGATGCTTGCACTACACCTATCTAGCAAAACGCGTGGAGGTAATAGCAATTCCTTTAAGTGGCAGATGATGTTGCCGGGATCGTGTGTGTGTTTGTCCTGCGTGTGTCGGCAAATGTGCTGTGAACAAGATCGTTGCGCTGACATGTAGCTATTCCATATCGGCGCAACCTTAGTTTTTTATCTAAGAGTAGCCATACCTTTTTTGTACTCGACACAGAAAATTTGCTGCTGCCACGCTATGTTCGTAGCAGCAGAGCTCGCATCTTCGCCTCTCTTGGTTACCCACAGGCTCATTCCAATTTTCCTCGTCAAAGTGATGCACATGCGGTGTTTCGTGCCCTTTACGCGCCTTAAGCATTCGTATAATCGTAAGTATCATCATCGAACGTTGCGCGCTGCTTTATAATTAGAGCGGAGCTTGGTCTAATCAGCAAAGAATGCGGTATTATCTAAAAGTTACACGGCTGCTCATTTTTGAGAACCGCTGCAGCATCAGGTCATATCAGATTACATACACACCGCACTCCCTCCGGCGTACGAGCTACAACAAACTATCGGCTAGCTAGTATGCGAGTGGGTGTGCCAAGCTGTTGCATCTGGTAGGTGCGCTTATCGATTGTAAAGCGGTTTGACGCGTCAGATTGATTTCAAATTGACAAGTCTGTATTGAGATGAAGTCGGTTTCCACAATGAGAGACGTCGACAATTTGCGGCGCCAATATTCCCGAATTGTCTACTCTTACCTTCTGGCCAAATTACTCATCCCTCCCACAAGTTCTACACCATTCGCCCTCCGTATTCAGGTTCAATTATGTGCCCAAACATAACGTGCACCCAGCGCATGGCCATTCATGGCTTCGCCTCTACTTGCGCCGGCGACTTCCGCCGCTTGTAGTCTCTAGACGGTTTTTGGTGAAATCGATGTGCTGCTGCAAGATGCTACTCAGAATGAGCTCGGAGGAGTAGATGCGCGCCGGATTTGCCAGCGCCAATGCTCTGCGAGCTGATGCCGTGGCCAAGGCTGTCTCACTCGAAATAACCACGTCGGTTGGACCAGCACTGCCATTAGCTACTGCTGTTCCACCGGCACATTCGACAATTTTTACTAAGTCTTTCACCGGCGGAAGAATTGACTTGTGGTTGGTGATAAACACTTGGTGACCGGCGAAAAGTTTCTGTCGTTGCTCCAAAGTAAAGTCGTACATCGTTTTCTGGAGATCAAACTGCCACTTTCCTTCTGCCTCCGCATCTTTTAGACAGTATTCCCGCTCACTTAGAGACGCACCTACACGTGCCGACTCATCCAGCCATCGCTTATCAACGACATGCGCGCACCGCGATATCCCGCAAAGCATTTTTACAGTTCGTTTAAGCTGATTTCGGGGGGCGAGAACATGCGTTGCCTTCTCGATGTCTTCTTCGTAAACAGCACCTACAATTAAACCAATTTTCTTTCGAATTGAAGCAGTCGGTTCAATGCCGGTGAGGACGATACGCACTTCTAAGACCTTTGACCCGTGTCCAGCCGACTGTGTGCTCACGGAAAGCTGAGTAGTATCGATCTCGCTGATGGGCTGATCCGCTGGTATACGTGGACTAAGCTGGGTTGGCATCAGTGCCGTGTCATCTGGATCCTCGGCCTTTCTTTTCAACCACTTCCTCTTAGGTGTTTTCAGAGTTGGCGAGGATGTAGCAACGAGGGCAACATTCTTTTTTCGAATTGCGATAGCTGGAGCATCTGTTGATTTGATGCATGAACGCCTAGGTATCTTCGATAGAGGTGTATCATTTGATCTCCCTTTCACGTCCCTTGGGCTTGGAACCAGCTCACCCTGTTTGCTGTCTTGACCATCTCTCAGGTTCGAGGCAGTAGAGCCTGTTGAACCAGTTATAAAAGAGGCTTCCTCATATTGTGACGCCATTCGAGATTGAACGAAATGTCTAAATTCCTTTCTCTTTTTCAACGTCGATTCAGTAATTATTCGGTCGTGGTGTATTTCTCGCTCGTCCGTCACAAGGCATCCCTCTTTTTCTCTTTCTGCTCGTTGTGCAACAGCGTGGGCGCTCTCCAATGCCTTCGATACTTGATCAAACCAAAAATCAATTCTTGTTCGTTTTGTTGATACGAGGATGATTTCACCTACTGATTCGTCGGTGATAACCAAGCTCCACTCTTTCTCTCCACGCACTCGCTCACCGATTTCCAGATTAGGAGAGTGAGTATCAAAGTCAAATAAAGCTGTGTGCTGATTCCAACCTTCCAGCTTGAAAATTAGCAGCCATCTAGCATACAGAACAACGTCAACCAATTCCCACTGTGGCGAGCTCGAATTGCTTCGAGGCGCCATCCAAAAAACTCCAGGAAGGTGGTCGTCGTAAAACGATGCAAATTTTGTCGGCATTGTATCCTTATTCACAAGCTGAACCGATACCTCCTTGCGCAAGGGGAGTTCGCTGACCATCCGGCCTTGATGAAGCACTTCAGTTCGCGATCCGTTGTTTTCCAAAAACCCTCCAACTGTATCAGCCCAACGTTGGCTCTCCAGCGCATCCTTCCAGGTCAAGACAAGTATTGTGTCTCGCCTAATCAGTGCAAAACCACGTGCTTCATCCGATGATTTGAACATTGATACGCTGGTTGGAACGTGTTCTAGAAATACTGCATCTTGCTTGAGCTGCAGGCAATACAGGATTGTAGACGACTCATCCGATCCAGTCGTCCGCCTTTTTGCTGCAAACCAACGTTCCATCCTGAAAGCAATGCATATCAATCTGATTTGACTGGCTGAACAATCCTGTGTCAGCTTGCAAACAGGGATGGCTAGAACCGCTCCGAGCATTCGCATGCGACAGTGACACCTCACCGCAGAGCAACAGTTTGTTATTTGACAAATCGTTGAAATTATTAGCTCCGTCACCGTTAAAGCACGTCTGTAACGCGATCAACACCTTTTCATCTTGCGCGCCCAACTCGATTAGATGGATGTAGCGCTCGCTCTCTTGAACAACATATTTTAGTCGAGCGGCACGATCAGTATCCTTTGGTATTGCCCGCGTTGCAGCCATTACGAGCAATATCGTTTTCTTTAGCTTTTGAGAAGGTGACGCTTAGCGCTTTGACAAACTGAATGAGTTCATCGAAGCGATTTAGCGGACGCGCGACCAACTCATCGACAGTCAGAAACTGACTCTGTAAGTACTTTTCCAAAAGCTCGCCATCCCACTCGTTTTTGCCCTTCTCGAACGCGATTTGCAATGCCGTGTTGGTGGCATCTCTTCTAGAAAATAGTTGTCCGTACACAATTCGAAGGATGCTTAGCATATCCTCCAAAGTTTCCACCAAAACGTCGCACTTCCCGTCAAAAGAACAGGCGTTTTCATCATCTATTGGATCCACAATTAGCTTAAGTTTTCCTTGATAGAACGTGTGGAGGTACTTGAGTTGAGCTGTCGCCTCGACGAACCTGTCGAAGGCGATGTTATCCAAGAGAGTGCCACTTCGCGACCGACGAGCAAACCGCAACTTTCTTGCTAATTCTTTTTCAACACTTTCAAGAAAGTGCACGTAATTGTCGTCCTTTTCCAACTGCGCCCGGAGATTTGCCTGCGCGGCTTCCCACTTCTCTCGCATCACTTGGCGTTTCTTCGCGGTCGAATCAAAATGTCGTTTGGTCATCAGCTTATCGACCAATCAACATGACGTGTTTACGTCCCTGAGAAAAGGACTATTTTACGCGGTCCAGGGTCCAAATCGGCGATTTATTTGTTATTTTCCGTGTGCTTAAACAAGTAGACAGACAGTAGCTTATCACTTGAATAGTATTTGATTCAGCATTAAAAGTAGCTCTGGTATGAACCATATTGTTGGTCATTCATTGTTGACGACTTGGTAGGGCTTTCGATTCGAATCGAGAGGGACCTGTAATAAAATAACGTGTCCTATATAGATCGATTGGTCCTCAACGTGGCGTACTGATTACGTCGGAAATGGCGATGAAGCCAACGGACTTTAAACTTCGCTCGATTATGTCTTATTCATACACCATGGATTACGAAAACAGCATTGTAGTGGGTAGGTATCTATTGCGTACGTGCGATGTTGTACGACATTTTATAAGACATTAAGCGTTGTTTTGAGAAGGCCGATTCTTTCAATGACACGCTGCCATGTACTTTCATGAGGGCATTGTGGCACCTGGCACGTGATTATACTACGTTTCATCCGTAGCAATTAGAACAGCAAACATCAGACTTCGCTAGCAACGGCGCCGCCTTAAACATATAAATATTTATGGGCGAAGGTAAACTATTTAATAATCTTTGCTAGTATCATTGACCAAAATTATCTTCTCCGATCCCATTGAGGATATGGTCTTTTCGGGTCTAATTAGAGATATTATCTCCTCTAGTCTGATTCAGGATATTATATTTTGCGGCTCCCTTATAAAACAAAATATGTGCAGGTCATTAAGTAACTTTAGTTGTTGCACGTCATATAAAAAAGACCGATTTAGACCTTTAAGCGTTACTATTCTCCGTAGTTTCTCCCACCATTTTTATCATTAAATTTCAGCAATACACCACAGTTTCCAACAGGACTTGCGCAATGAATAAAAGCAACATGTCAGCATTCGATTTGTACTTTGTAAAGCACACTTGTACGTTAAATAGATTCTAATTAAAACTTTTTCAGTATAATATGTGCATGTTCTTATCATGGTAAGCGTCTTCGTTTATTCTTCGCAGTTCAGAACACATTCAATGAGTAGTATGATCCCTTTCACACAGTCAATAGAATAGATATATTATAATGTCATAAGTATGAGTGTGAGCTTCCTCTTTCCAATTAAAGAATGGTGCTGTCCGTCTGACGATCACATTCGTCTATCATGGGATTAGTGCATGTAGATAGCTACCACACCACGTATGGTATCGATTCCCTTATACAAGACCACAGGCAAAGGCGATTTAACCTCATGGTATAGCTGATATAATACTAGCCATCGATAATCGTTTTGTATGTCAAATTTTAAAATTTAAAAATAAATTGGATGAGCCAATCGAACATTAAATATAGGAAATTGCTAAATTCAGACCTCTTTTCCTTAAATTCACACCCTTCCTTCAAAATCTTATATATATAATCCCTATTCATTTTAAGATTTGATTGACACAACGTCCCACGTAATTTGTGTCACTTGGGTTTAGTCCAAATCTCCACCTTCACGCGCCTTGAGGACCGTTGTCACTGTTAGGTACAACACGTACGCCCAGCCAGCGCAAGAGATGTCATTGAAGGCCAGCAGGTACAACTTTAGTTGCGAGGACTACGCATACAAAAAGAGGGAACTATGGTCAGCCTCTGCGTTGCAACCTGGACATTCGTCTGTATCTCCCCTTGTTCTCACCTTTTTGGTCTGCACGACCGTTCGTGGAAAGTCGTCAAGAATAAATCCACGACGGCATTTCGAACTCTTGATGGCGTCCTTAATGATACCGACAACAATCTCGTCGGTCACAAGTGCAGCCGACTCTATCGCTGCCTTTTAACCTTTTTGCCTATGTCGGTTCCAGCAGCTACAGCAGCGCACAAGATGTCGCCCGTAGCCAAGTGGCAGAGAAAGTACTCGTCTTTGTCCAGCGGCGATTGCGTACCTTGTGTATATAAGATTTTGAAGGAAGGGTGTTGATCTGAGGAAAAGGGGTGTGGATTTAGATTCCCTAAATATATTTTGGTTTGGATGGACATATACCTCGCTTCTATAATCACATAATATAAAGTACGCAGAAAAGTTCAGGTAAAGTTAGCTTGACGCGGCAAATACAGGTTTACCATAATTTGCTACTAATATTATGATCACAAAAGATGATTATGTAACTCAGCTGCTCAACAGATAGTTTAATTGGACTACATCGGAACTATGCTGCTGTTTGCAGGTCGACGAAAAAGCTTCGATACGAGATGCCCTTATTTCAGACAGTAGAGGGAAACGCCTCGCTGTGAATGTTTGACAACACTAACAAAAAGTTGTCGTATGAATGATAATACGATGAAGATGAGGCTCAACATGTCCAATTAATTTGGACGCATATAATCCTATGTCTGAGAGGCCAATTTGAAGACGCATTTGTGTTTAGAATGAAAATATTTTCTTAAGTTTTGTACTATAAATATATGAACTTATCGCAGCTTTATCAGGGTTCCTAGCTCTGCTATAGTTCTTGTGGCAAACCTTTTTGATGCATGCTCATGCCCCGTAATCTTGATGCATCATGATTTATGAAAAGAAGAATTTTGTTGTACTTGACCCATGTCCCTTGAAAAAGTGTATTGTGAAAAGAACCGTATATGCCCATCTCATCCGCATGGAGATGAAGTTGCTTGCTTAATCGACTTACGTGTCGGGAAGAGACTCAAAGCTTAGTTCAAGATGCGGCTTATATGGCGTCACATTATCAATGACTTTAAAATAGGCAATGTTCCTCGACTCTCTCATGAACAAAAAATCTCACCCGTTAAGAATGATTACCAATTTTATAGCGTGCATTTGCGATACGAAATATTTGGAGAGGGCATTGGTAGATTAATTTCGTCGTGTGTTTCCAGTGTTTCAAAATCTAGATAAGTTAGATCGAATGACCCTCAATATGGACCAGAAAAGCGAGTGCAGCTCTGTTGTGAGATCACAACAGCGTAGCGGATAGTCAAAAAATTAAGGATAAACAAGTGCAGAGACTTGCCAATTCTGCAACTTCAAGATAATGGGAAGGTAAAGTGACGGACTCTGTTCCAAGATAAAGAATCGTGTATTGCTGTTCCAAGGTATAGGGTATCCTAATTACTTTTAAAAATCGGAGCGACAATATATGAAGTAGCTTCATGCTGTAGTTGACTTTCATTTCTCGAACGCCTTCCTCCGATGCCAGATGGTAGGGAACCAAATCCCAAGTACATTGTGCGCGAAACTCCTTACGAGCGCGACAGAGCGCCTTGTAAGCGACAATATACAATAGTGACGGCAAGTGTAATAGTTGCTCATTACACCCCCAAAGGCAATAAGTATGAAAAATTATCGACATCGATCTGTATGTCTGGCTTGACAATATCCAATTCTTATTGTGTTTCGGATTGCCCGATATACAAGTCAGCTGGTATCACATAGATGTCAATATTCCTGCATCTGGTTTATCGAATGGAGGTAAGATGAACGTCTTACAGGTATCAAAAAGATGTGAATGTGCAAAAAAGGAGTGCGATGTACTCTCTGATGGAACAGTTCTCACGACCGCACAAGAGCACAGTATGGTTAGAAGCAGCATTTGAAGCAAGCTGCGGCGGATATGCACAAAACACAGGCAGCAAACAAATTATCTAAGCGTAATGGGGTATGGATACATGTCTTGAAGGAGACATGCACAAAAGAAAGTAAAGTGGTCTGGAAGAGGACTCAAGACAGTGCTATATTGGCTGGAGGAGAATCCGTACAGAAAATTGCTGTGGCAGCGCTAGAGAACGTTGAGAAGACACACGTCCTTAAGCAATCGATGAGTGTATAGTGTCCAAGTAAACAATTACAAAGGGTCGGAGATCCAGAATTGCTGACTAAAGCTTCCACTCCCCGCGGTCCTAAGACATTATGTCTTTAATCTGATCCGCGTGCCTTGTTAGATCCTGTGCCCACTTTCTGTACCGTCGGTAATCAGACTTGAGATATTGCTACGGGTCTTGGGAGATGTCGATATCGCTTCGAGTTAGAGCTTGAGGCTATCTGTATTTGTGCAAGAATCTTCACACAGCGATCTGAGTATGTTTTGGTCTGTATCCGAGATCACCTGTAGACTTTAGTCCGAGATCGCATGATCTGCCTTTTAAGCACTTGTTCCATGTCATAGATACTTACTTCCCACTTGGTCTTTCCTTCTGATCACTTGAACAATCTTGGTATTGTTAGATAGTTATGCGTAAGGATCATTATGTCGATCTTGCCTTTTCAGGACTTCCTTTCTTGCTGCGTCCAATCACAGTCGAGGCGTCTCGAGAGATCCTGCTAATTAGGGGCGAATATATCCAGAAATATATGTTCTTCTTGTCACAATATTGCGGGTTCTTGTTCTAGTGGATAAATGTTCCAATCCTGATAGAGGAGGCCTAGTATCTTCAATAGAAGAAAAAGTTTGAGGTCTGCTTCTTAACCAACCAAATTAAGAGGCAATCTCTCACCACGCCTATGTTTACTTATATGATACCTGTCAAACCTATACCAAATTTACATTGAATCACTTCCTTGAACACGTATCAGATCTAGTGAACCGTACTTAAATATGATGCATATATCGCAATACGGGGGTCCCTAAAATAAGGTTATCTCCGACCAAACTATCACAATGTCCAGGTTATTCGGATAATATCCAAACATCGGATGAATATCAAATATCGAGCAAAGTATGGGCTAATCGACTGTGGGTATCAATTCGAACACAATCTACTCACTCTTTTAATCTAGTATCACGTGGATAATCTCAAATCTTCTCGGTACTTAAATATTGATTGTCATGTTCAATCACTATTAGATTTCTTTTCACTGGACCACACCACCGATACCAAATGTGGTGTCAATACCTTGGTAGGTA